AGTATTTTAACTGTTAAATAAAAAAAAAATAAGTACTTCAACATCCTGCTTCAGTTTTTTTCTAACACTCGTAAATTTATGCGATTTGAGCTTTGTTCAAAGTCAATAGTCACAGACTTTAGCAAAATAATCCGTTTTTATTTTCACGAATATTTTTTTAGATGTAGACAAGATAAAATTGTTTTTAAATGCAGTAATAGTATGGAGTAATAATATAGGATAAATGCAGTAATAGTATAAATGCAGTAATAGTATAGGATGCTGTATTTAATAAGAAATAAAAATAAGTTCCTATAAAAAGATAAGAGTACCTTATTAATTTCTTAGAGATGATCGATTTATAAAGTTTGTCTGCACTTTATGCTGCCACCATTTTCGGGCATATATTGCTCTATTTTGAATTAGATTCATTTTTCCCATCGCTTTGCTGTTCCTAACAGCAGGTATTTCGTCTTGTTCTTTTGCACTTATTTCTTTTATACGCGATTTGAGAATATCGTCGTTTGTTTCTGAAGAACTCGTAACATACTGTGCATTTAAATACTTGTGAAAAAATAACAAACAAACTTAGATTTCCAAAATGGAAAAAAAAAAAAAAGATTACGATTGACTAAGCGAAAAAGTGATGATTTGCAGGTGATGGATCCAGGACAATCTTCGAGAACTAAGAATATTGAAAAGAAAAGAAAAAAAAAATAAGCAAAAAAATCTGAAAGGTTTCAGATTTAAAATTACGTCCAAAGGGCCATTTTTTAACGTTTTGTGTGTTACCTTTATTTATTAAATATCACGTTCTTCACACTTAAACCATAAAATTCAGTTCATAGTAATGTCGCAAAATAATTTTAAAATAGGCATATCTTTAGGATTTTCGATACACAGTTCCGTGCGCTGGGCCCATGGAACTGTGTATACACAGACGTATACACAGATTCGTAGTTCCGCGCTCTACGAGGAAAAAAAGGTTTTTTCCCCCGTACAGTGTTGGCATTGCTCGTTACTCAAAAATTCTTAAAGTTTTACAAAATATGAAATCGATCATAAAACAAATTCCAAATTTCAAATTTGACCTTACACATGCCCATATTCGTAGGAGGATTACGTCATTCAAAATTCGATGGCTCTATGTACCATTGTTTTATCACAATGCGAGAAATATACATGCATTAATGCAGATTTTTCATTCTTTAATTTCTTCAAGCATAATGCAGGATTCTAACATTTGATGGCAACAGTTTGAAAGGTGAAGCAGGCATTTATAGTGATTTAACTCAAAATCGCAAAACGAAAACAGTAATCGTTCAGGGACAAAGCCCCTTTGGACTAACTATCTATATAAAATATAATGAAAGTTATTTATCATTTGGGTTTACTCTGAAAGGAGAAGAAATCGATATCCTATCTCGGTGTAGTGTTTGCGGTGAACTATTATCCAATAAAAGTATAAAATTCTCGTGTTTTCTTTCCTTCTTTTTTTTAAACACAAATGGCGGGCACATGTCTATAACGGCATTGGTCACTCTTAAGGCCAGAAACCGTGACATTTTATTTTGGAGGCACCTAATAGACGAACACCGTTACCTCCTATGAAGGAACAGACAAATTTACATCCCGTTTCTTAAAAGATGTCTTGAATCTAAGCATTAAAGGATAAATAGTAAACAGGTAATAAAAGGTTTTGTTATTTCAAGTGAAAAAGCTTTGGAAGCTAACTACCATATAAATCTAAGAATTGCCAAGACTGGACTCACACTATTGCAGAAAGCATTAGATTACCAGCTAAGGATATCGTTTTGCCATTATTCAACGAAAAAGCGGATAATGAACTTAATAATATTTCGTTATCAAAGATACAGCTGCATCTTACTAGTAAGTCGGCGAATTCATGAAATGGCAAATTTCATAAAAAAGACACTTATTCAAAAAATACAATACAGTGAGTATTTCGCATTGCAACTGGATGAAAGTACTAATATAACGAACTTCGTTCAGTTATTAGTTTACATAAATTTCGAACATAAACGAATTGCTGAATGGTATTTCTTTTGTGAATTTCTTCATTATAGAATAACTGCAAATAAAATTTTCAAAGTAATTGACAATTTTATGTCTGAAAATGATAGTCCTTGAAATAAGTATATTGCCGTATGCAGTTACGGAGCTCAGCCTTTAACAGGAAAACATTCCGCTGTTTTTTTATAAAATAACGAAAATCGAACCTGAATCTAAATTTTCTCACTGCTCCATTAATCGTGAAGCTTTAGCCAAAACAATTTCTTAAAACATTAAAATCGTTTTGAATCAAGATGTGGAAATCACTAATTTTATTAAAAGCCGAGCTTTAAATTCAAGAATATTTATGGTTTTATGCCAAGCGATAGGCAGTGGACATGAAACGCTTTTGTTATACTTCGAAGTAATGCGGTTATCCAGAGGCTAAGTTTTAAATCATCTTTTTGAACTTCAATCGGAAATTCAAATTTTCCTCTGTGATTAGAAAATTTCAAATTGTTTATTTAGGGAATTATGGTTGGCGCATTTAGCATATTTAGCTGATATTGTTAGAAAGTTAAATGAATTAAATTTAGGATTACAAGGACAAAGTGTTTATTTATTTATTATTAGAGATAAAATAAATGCAATGAAAAAAAAACTTGAGGTAATAATCAAAGAATTGGATAATAATATTTTAAGCTATTAGCAACTTTTAGAAAATTTTCTAACCGAAAATAATTTGAAAATAAAAGAAGCATTAGCATGTGACATTAAAAGTCATGGGTTTCATTGATAAATAATTTCAACATGTGTTTACCAGATGATTATGAGAAAGGAAATTGTATTAGAAATTCACATTTTATCTCGGGAAGAAATAGAACACTTGATAGAAATTTTCTGTGATCGAATCTAACTGAAGATTTCAAAAGTAACACACTCGTTAACTTTTGGCTAAACCGAAAAAAGGAACTTAAAGGCATTTAAAATGAAGCTATGAAAGTTTTAATGCATTTTTTGGCACAACCTACTTGTGTGAACAAGGATTTTCTTCCATATTTTATTTGAAAAATAAATATAGAACGAAATTAAAAGTGGTTTCTAATTTACCGTTAAAATTTAGTGAAATAAGATCAGACATAGATAAATTGATTTCCTTTAAAATAGGCCCAAATTCAGGACTAAAGTATTAAAACTTTAATTCTTTTAATTAAAATAGTAACTAATTTTTAATTTAATATGCGTATGTTTGCATATTTAATACAAACAGCCAATATGTTGTGCAGATGGCAAAATATATTTTTTTAATATTTCTATTGAGAAATTGAAAACAATCATTGTAAAATGTAGTGGAGGTACTGAATTTTTCAATTTTTGTTTAGATGGTACTTGTTATCAATAAATTAAGAACTCTGCTTTAGAAGATATGAATTTTCGGTGATAAAATATGAGATCATTATTATTTATAAAATTAAGAACAAGTTGTAACACAGTCCTATTTTTCTTACGTTATTCATTTTAGCATGGATGGTATGAATGTGGTCTACCCTTCATAAGATTTTTATTTTTAAATCAAACGTAAAGTAACAGTAGGCACCGCTTAATATAATCATGGTTAATGCTATCATTCGGGATATTTTTATCGCATTCCCGAAGTCCCTCCCTCTTGAACGCAAAACCATTGAAAATACATCGCTGATTGAGATCAAACATTGGTTAATGTTACCGAAGTGTTTCAGAATAATTTTTTTAAACTCTGGTAAAGCCACCAAAAGAAAAGATAAAATCACTAAATGTGGTCAAAATCGAGTATAAAAATTACCAAATCACATATCTATATCACTAAGTAAGGGACTAACATGCTTTAGAGGAATAAAAAGATACCTAGTGGATTATAAGTATAATTGAAAGGCATGCATGACGTCATTAATTTTAAATGGTTAACCCTGCAACGGAGGGCCGGCGTACAGAGTACGCCAATGCCATCTTTTGAGCTATAATTTTTAGACAACCTCTTCCTGAGCTTCCTCCCTTCCTCTACCCTCCTAGAAATATTTTATGAGTGCAATGCACCTGGTATTTCTGGTCAGTCTGGTTTTCGCCTTCCTTCCGAAACCAGTTATTGTGAACATGTCGCGTAGGTGAACGCAGTACGCCGCTCCTCCAAGTACATACAGAAAGAATATTGTACCTCCTGAAGATTATTTGCGCGTTTTAGAAGAAGTCCCGGTTGATGAAGACTCCGACAATTTGGATAACGCATCTGATGTCAATGAATCGGAAGTCATCAAACATTCTGATCATGAAAGTGACTCAGAAATTGAGGGAAATGTTTGAAAATGAAAATGAAAAAAAACATCCTCATTTTCCTTCCTCAAATGACGTTTCCCCAACAAATGACGATTTTAGTGATATTGAAAATGACATGAGTGTTTTAAAATATGAGGACTTTTTTGTAAAAACAATTTACAAAAAGAGGAAAGTTTCTGAAAGAAGAAAAGAAAACTTATAAGTGGAATAAAGTTTCCCTCAAGAGCGAATTCGCCAGGAGGCCTCGAAAAAATTTGATGAAAAAAATATGCCCAAGTGCCAAAACTTGTGACGATATAAATGATGAGCTTTCTGCTTTTCAGAAAATAATAAATACAAATATGATTGATGCTATCGTACAATATACAAACATTTATCTCAAATTTAACAGGACAGCAGATGATCTCCAAAACATCTCAAAGATATGCATGTATGATACTAATAGAGCAGAAATGTTGGCCCTTTTTAGGAATTTTATTCTTATTAGGATGCAAAAAACTGTAAAAACTCAATTTGGAGGAAGCATGGGCAAAAGACGGTACTGGAATTGAAATTTTGCAAGGGGGCATGGGTCTCAAGCGATTTCAGAAACCTGTGTGCTACTATTAGATTCGATACGATAAAGGCACAAGGTATATTCGAAGAAAAACTTGATAAGCTTGCCTGCACTAAGAGAATTTTTTTAATCTTTCAATCAGAACTGTCAAAACTTTTATACACCAGGTGATGAACTCACAATCGACGAAGAAGTTGGAACACTTTCCGCGGGAGGATGCTCTTTTATTCAATTCATCCCCAACAAGCCCGCAAAGTATGTTCTGAAAATTTTGCAGTTGTTGACTCACGAACGTTTTATACATTGTAGCTTGAAATTTACTGTGGCAATCAACCGTAGGACCTTACGAGGCTTCTAATTCAAGTATTGACATTGTCAAAAGGCTAACTGGTGCGTACGAAGGTTCCAACCGTAACCTGACGATCGATAATTGGTATACAAGCTACCCGCTTACTCAATACCTTCTTACCAAAGGTATAACACTTGTGGGCACGCTTAAAAAAAATAAAAAGGAACTTCCAAATGAATTCCAGTCGTCAAAAACCAGATACGTCGGCAGTTCACTGTTTGGTTTTCAAAAGGATATGATAATTGTTTCATATGCAACGAAAAAAATACGGGTGTGTAATACTGCTCAGTACTTTACACGATGATGACAAAATTGACCAGGAAACGAATAAACCTCAAATAATCCTGGATTATAACAAATGTAAAGGCGGAGTTGATAGCGTAGACCAACTTTGTAGTAATTTCACTGTCGTCCGAAAAACCAATAGGTGGGCAATTGCAATATTTTTTGCACTGCTAAACGTAGCGGGCATAAATTCGCAAGTGCTCTTGAACTTCTCCAAACCTGATGCAACCATCAAGTTTAGAAGATATTTTTTGAAAACTCTAGCTACATCTTTGATGAAACCACATCTTCAGAATCGTCTGAAAATGCCATTTCTCCTGTTGCATTCCAAAGCTATTATTAGAAGTCTGGTAACAACAGAAGCGGACAAGACGGCCGAAAGGGACGAGGAACCCACCTGCAAAAACGATCAAAGGACGCTGCGCTGAGTGCGGTAGAATGAAGAATAACTATACTACCATAAAATATTCTGAGTGTTCTACGTCTGGCATCATCTGGGCAAGTCAGTACAACTTTGCAAACCCTGCTGCAGTGAACAGAGGCAATCGGAAGAGGATTAAAAGAGCAAAAGGTTTTTCAAATTTCTCATTTGTGAAATTTATTACTTACCGAACTTTTCTTTTACGGAATATTTATAATTTGTAAATTTGATTTATGTTCTTATAATTTTCATACAGAAAATAATGCATAATACTATTTAACTTTAAATTACATTTCCAGTGCATCCACTTTTTGAATTAATTAAAAATTCGTAGTTTCCATCTTTACTGCTTTTTTTCTGTATCTTTTTCTTTATCATTTTTACTATGACGAATCACCTTATTAATGCCATGTATAAGATTAAATAGTTTCAAACACGAAGCAGAGGCTCGAAAAATGACCAGGGGTACTTCATACGCCGCCCCTGTAAAATTGTACCATACGCCAGCCCCTCCAACTGAGGGTTAACTTTCAAAATGAAATAACTAACTGCAGAATCATATCTTTCTTCTTTTTATAAATTGTGGGACGCGTAACGGAAATATCGTTGTTAAACATGCTGAAGTTTATTTTTACAACAAATATCGCAGGAGTTATCCATGATCAAGGGAATATTAGAGCGAGCACTATCGTCTTGAAATTATTGTTAGATTTCTTCATTACATGGATGATACGAATATAAATCCAAAAAAGATAACAATAAAAACTAATCTTCTTGTGTCTCTGCATTTTCCGAACTTATCCTGGAACAGCCTCTTACAAAACACAAGAACGAAAAATTTTCAGCAAATTGTGGGGCATTTACATTTAGAACTGATGATCAGATATTGATGAAAAACTGAAATTGCTGCACTAGTGACAAAAGAAGGTATTTGCCAGTTGCTTTCTGAAAATATTCAAACGCATCTTCTGGTAAATTTTCTGAAGGGCCACCCAGATGGTATAGCGATTAGGGAAGTCGAGTGCCAATACCGAAGAGCATAGGTTCGAATCCCGGAAAGGCACTGATATAAATTGTCTTCTTCCTCTTTGGAGTAACGGTGCCACCTATTGGGTGTCCCCATAATAAAATGGGCACCACTTCTGACCTTACTAATGGCAAAAACCTAAAAATGCCTAGTGTCCGCCATTTAAAAAAAGTTTCTGAAGAAAACGATGAAGATGAAATCCGGCAATTTCCTACAAATGATGGCATGTATGAAGATGAGGAATACATTATCGATCACATACATTACGGAAAACTTTAGGAATATTAACAGTTCCTAAATTAACTTTTGAATAACAACACAGAAAATTAATTATTAATGGCTTTTTCCTAATTAAAATGCTGTGAAAGCAGGCATTTATATGTTTCTAATTCCAGTTTTGTTAAATTAATGAGTTTCTCCTGACATTTCGAAGGCTATATTTTTCATCGCTTTATGTTATTATTCGGTTAACGTTATCAAAAGTGTTACCGACGAACGTGATCACATTACGCTGTGTCTATTGTATATAAATAATAATAATAATTTTGATTTTTTATGCATTATATCGATGATATTGAAAGTAGAAAATTGAGAAAATATTTTTCTCTAAATATTAAACTTGGTTTTAGGCCAAGCAAATTATTGAATACTTCTCGTATGGTTATTTCAATTTACAGAAATGAAATAAATTGCTATAGGTATAATTTTCCTGATATTCTCCAATCTTGTAATTTTAATGGATGTTAAAAATTACAACACTAAGTAAGAATAAATGCAATTAAATGTATGATTCATTTAAAAACTCTTAACAAGTTTTGAATTAGTTACATATTTAAATAACAGAGGAAAGAAACTGTTCTGAAGTACAAGAATATATAAATTAAGAATGCTCAACTTTTGAATGTTTAACCATATTATTTGGAATAATGAACAGTAAATGTTAAGAATGCCGCGCTATTCGAAATTGTAATTAGCCTTCCTGGTTGGGTATCACTGGCAAAGGCTTGGATGTTTGTAAGTGTATAGAATATTTGAAACGTGGGACAATTAATGGCGAATCGAAAGTCCACTTTGGTTGTTTGGATGTAGAAAAACAAGGATGGAAGGCCTTTGGATCCTCACCCTGGGATGGGGGTTTCCTTCAGAATTGGGATGGCCTTACTGTCATTTATAAGGTTATAAGGTATTTCCTAGCGTGCCTTCGTGGTGTAGTTGTTCTGCACGCTGGGCCAGTATCCAGATGTCCGTGGTTCGATTCCCGGCGAAGGCGGTTGCTCATTTTTCATCTTGCCTGCTTCCAAAAATACCTAATGTCTCTACAAGGTGCACAGATGCCTAATATAGATGTCTCCCTTGCGCTATTCACCAAAATAACTTCCGCAGACAGGTTCTCATGTTACTATGATATTGCGATTATATACACATTTTGTTTTCATTATTATACATGCAGCTGTTCTAAACGTAAGAATTTCATTTTTACAATTTTGTGTTGCCAGATTCGAAAATTAAATCAAAGGAAAATTGTGACTGACGTCACGAGTGACAGTGTCTATCGAGAGGCCGGAACATTTCATAAGTGAGATAAGTCACACCAACAAATATCAAGAGATTGTCAGAACGAAAATGGGATTGCCAGTAATTACAAAATATATTTTGATGATTTCATTCTGGTTTCACCAAGTAAAAATACTTAAAAATATTTTTACGACTGATTCAAAATTACCTCTTTGTATTTTATGTTTTGTTTAAAAGACCATACTCAAGTGTTCGCTTTCATAAGTGTACTTAGAATTAAATACCAGTATTTAATTTGGAACAACCTATATGTACAGAGGCCGTCCGGACATCTTTTAGACGAATTTCATTGTAGTATTTACAGAGATATTTTTTATACATTTTTTTTTTAATTCTGAATGTTCCATTTGATAACCCTTATTCTTCACTATCTTTCTATACCGTAGCTTCAAAGACAGTAACTAGACTAAGTTTTTATAAGTATCGAAAGAGGTATTTCATCCCATTCCGCTTGAACAGCTTTCCAAAGTCCAATGAGGGTTGTAGGTCGACGTTTAGAAAAAGTCTAAAAAGTCCTTTTTAAAAGTCTAAAAGAAAAACAAATATCCCTGGATGATACATTAGGAGATTTAGTAGGGAGGCGGGGGAAGGGTATGGCCTTGATACGCGTTTAATTTTCCATTTTTTCCAAGAATTTATTGTGGATTTTGACGTACGTCTGCTTAGTTTGTCTTGATGCGGTTCTACTGATTGATGACACCGTGGGAAAAGAGAAGGTATTATATATTTGAAAATTTAGCGTAAAAATGTTTCCGATAATATGTGGAGTTGACTTGAATAGTTTTCTGCATTTTTTAAATTTTTATTTGTGGTTTTATCAAAAACTAGGAAAAATTATAAATCCCTTTGTAAAACCTTCTTTAGATTCTTTAAACCTTGTTCTAAAATTTTTTACCCTCTCTCTGATGATAATAAACGGATCTTTTTTATTGTGATCGTTTAAATATACACGAAATTCATCTATTGTGACAACATTTTTCCATTTTTTCCCGAACAATTGTTTCTTGTGGAGAATTTTGCTTTCGGCGATATGTAGTGGAGAAAGACAATGTACATTACGTTTCTTCGCCTTTTTTAGATTCAAATCAACATTAATCACTTTGTTTACAGGTGACACTAACCATTTTAAGGATTATGCAACTGTCCTTTGACTTCGAAGATTTACTTTTAACATTAAAATTCTTACCTTTGCAAGGTTCGAAACATTTCATTTCTCTCTTGGATATGTATTTTTTTCCCTTTTTCATTGACAATGCTATGTATCGTTGCTTTAGTTACCGAAAAACCACGGCTTTCGCAGCACTTTATAGTAACTAAATACGAATAATTTTATTCGGAAAGAGCACAAACATAGTCTGTAGAGATATTAGGTTAATTGGAAGCAAGAGAGATTGAAAAATTAGCAACGCTTTCGCCGGAAATCGAACCGAATACTGGAATACTCGCCCAGCGTGCAGATCACCACACCCCGAAGTCATGCCAAGAAGGCGGGAGAATTACCTTATATACTCCCCCATTTAAAGGGCCACTGGGATATTTAAGGGACCCAATCGCCAAATCCTGGGTGGGGAGAATCATCATCCACCAACTTTTTAGTT